ATAGCCAGCATGGCACCTCTTCAACATGAGTGTGCCGCGCTACAAAGCTATGGACACACTGTGGCGAGTGTGTTATAAGGCTGCTTACGCACGCGCATGGCTCGGCAGGTGCCTGGGTTCAAACCCCAGTGGCAGCAGTTGCATCCCGAATCTTGATAATATAAAATTCGGGGCGGGGCGGGACAGCGTGGGCGCGCGCGCGCGTGCGGCGGTCTTGGCCTTGGCGCGCACGCGTCGTGATGCGGCTTTCTTTTTCGCCACGTGGAGCTCTCCTGCTGCAGCACCTTTCTTCGTTGTTTTTCCCGCTTTTTCGCTCGAAAACGGCCGGAAAACAGCCAAAAACCCGACTGTCGGGTTTTGCCGTATTTCCCTGCTGTGCGGTGCGGTGTGGTGGGTGGGGGCGGGGACCGTTCCCGCTCCGATACCAATGTAGCGGACCCACCAGGTGTGGTGCTCCGCTATGGAGATGGAGGAAGAAGGGGGGAGCAAGATGGCACAACGCAGCTCCCTTACGCAAGACTCCAACGCACGTACTTCAAAATGTGCAAGTGAAGAATGAGAATGAAAACAGACAATGGCTGGGGTATACCCTAGCGGACTGACGGGACTGGACTGGACTGGCTGGTACCGACAGAGGTACCGGCCTGGACTGGCCTACCCCGAATACAACACAGGCCTGTGAGAACAGGCCAAGGGGCTGGTCTCACAGGCCAACCCGAGGTCCGCTACATCAGTGTATGTACTGGCTGCCGCATCATCTTCACCCAATCTCTGGCTTTCTCCATGACGCTCGCCCGCTGCTCATCATTCAGAACCACGTGAGTCAGTTTCCTTTCAATCAGGTCGTCGTATTCCACAAGGTTTGTCAGTGACGTTCCATCCCGATCCATCCTCCTGAGAAGGTTGTACAACGGTTCCATCACATCAACCACCTTCTTCAGCTCTTTCCATCAGCCGTCTCTCCTCATGGTGAAGTAAACCAGGTCCGCTTTCGACTTCAACTTTGCAGTGGACCAACGGATCCCTGTCTACCGTGCCACATTTTTTCGATCCACCATATCGGACAACACCGCCTTCCTGTTGAGCAGCCTCTCCAACATCATGTACACTGACCCGAACCGAACTTTCGTGGGACGAAGCAATGTCAGGGAATTGTCCATGGACATCATCAGGCTGTGCGTCGAGTGGTAGTTCCGGATAAACTTAACAATCATGTGGCCTCTCTTGACAGTGCCCTATACCCAGTCTAGCTTGTTGATGTCTCGCAGCAAAAGGCTGCAACAATGCGCAGTGCAAAGAACCCATGGAATCCTTGCAATGTCTTTGTCAGTCCGGCGTTCCAGAATCTGAGCAGCCATCTTGTTCACCTCGGCATTGTCAGTGCAGATTGCGTTGATGCGACGCACCCCTATCTCCCTCATGATCTGTTCCCACAACTTCGCCAACGCCTGCGCTGTCTTCTTCCTTGCCGTCATTGACACTGTGGCCACCAAAACTGCACCCTTTTCCCCCGCTGCCAAGAAGTTCATGACAGGGCGCTCTCGACGGTCGGATGACCCATCCGTGATGAATGTACAGCCAGATTCATCCCAACAAGCTGTCAGAGGATGCACTTGCTTTTTAATTCGCAAGTAGATGAAGTCAAGCATCACCGTCCTCATATGCTTGTACGAGGGCAGCTTGACCTTCGGTCGTGCATTCGCCACTTCCAAGTAAACCTCGTGGAGCTTCTGCATCGTGTCAACGTTCAGGAAGTTAAACGCAATGCCAGCACAGAACATCGCATCCGCCCATGCAATATCCAGCTTCTTCTGTGCATCATTGTCCACCCATCTCCTGATTGATGTCTGCTGCAACGATGCAACCCTCGTGTTTGACGTTGAACCTTCCGCAAGCCCCTCGTTTACAGCGGCGACCAGCTCTGTTCGGGAAGATGTTTTCGGTGGTGCCATCCCCGCAGTGGTTGGTGGTTGCGGCTCCTCGTACCCGGAAATGAGTGGCTCCACGTCCTGAGTCTCCGTCGCAGTCGCCCCCCCTTCCGCAATGCCATGCAACTGCCTATAGTTCTTCAGGAGGTACTGTGTGTTTTTGTCGCTGGGCACCACCTTCGCACCGGCGACCACGAGCTTGTGCACCATCTCACCTGTCCTCAAGGGACAAGGCTTCAACAACTTCAAAAAGTGTTCCACTGCCCCTGTGCTTGTGCCCCTCCAAATCTGTGTGCATAGCCGGCACTTCAGCCAATACTGTCCTCGACCCTTCAGCAGGGCTTCTTGACCCTGTATAACGTATTTCCACACGTCCCGGGTGCGCTGCAGTTGTTGTTGCCTTGTCTCATCCTGAGGAACGAACAGTGAAGGGTCAGACGCCGGCGTGGGCGTGGGATCCTTTGCAGTCACCCCAGATGCAGAAGCACTGGCAGTGGCACTGGCCTTTCCTTTGTCCGTCGATCCTGAAGGAGGTCTCCTCCTTCCGGATGCACCACTGTCACCACCTGCTGCAACGCCACTGCCGTCGCCCCTCGCCATTGAACAGCAACGTTTGGAAGCACTCGCCAACAAACACCGAACGCACCCCCCTCTGGCCCCCCTTTCAACCGTTAAAAAAAAAAAAAAAAAAAAAAAAAACAAGGTGGGATACGGTGGATGTCTATGGGATACGTGAAGAAGAAGAAGAAGAAGAAGAGGATGACTGATTGGCGGTGGATGATGATGATGATGATTGGTGGTGGATGTCTATGGTGGATGGCACTAAGAAGGAGAAGAAGATGATGATGATGATGATGATTGGCGGTGGAGGATGGCGGTCAGGGGATGAGAAAGAACGGCGAGAAGAAGAAGAAGAAGAAGAAGAAGAAGAAGATGAGTTCGTCAGGTGGG